AAAAAAATTTAGTTTCGAATTGTTTTCTTGGAATGATAATCGAAAGCATTAAATTACTTTCTTAAGAATCAGTAAACACAAACAATATTAATTGCAACATACTGTTTCTATTAGAAAGAATCGAATCTATAAATAAATATATCTACACTTAAATGTGTAAAACAAAATAATTTTTTGTTAATTTTAAGATTTTTATTGTGCTAATATTAGTCATCCTTATTACTTCGCATTTTGTCAAACAGAACACGATTAATATCTAACAGATAAGACTCTGTATATCTTTCCCATGGTTAGAACTAAATCTAAAAATTTTTTGTCGCATGATCTTTACGGCAAAGAAAATTAATAATTTCATTAAAAGTTGTTCATTAAATAAATAGGCTTTTAATAAGGAACGTAGTATCTCTTCATATTCTATGGCGAAACATTAATGAAATCAAATCCAATGAGATTACTGATGTAGTAAAAATAACAAATTATTTATTTGTTAATAACAATTTACAAAAACACTTGCATAAGAAAAATTTGTCAATAAAATGGGTGCTGCGTTTATTCATAGTGGAGATTATAAACGTACTCATGTTATCACTTCTAAGGATTGTTTGCGAAGTTTTTAGCTTGCTTTTAGAGTTACTGAGTCAATTTAAAACTATAATTATATTCCGGAACAAAAAAAATGGGAATAAAGGACTTTTCCTGATAAAAGTGTTCTTTATGGCTTCTGTTTATGATGTTTGACTACTTCAAAAAAGGCCTTAACAATTCCATAAACTAGAAAGATTATGGTTTTTAGTTTTTAGAATCTACATAACATGACACAAAATATAATTGCATCATTATCATAAGACAAAACAATAATAAACAAAGATAAGGCGTTTTAGTCTGTATAAATAGTAAATAAACCGTACTAGCAAAATAAACATCAAAACGACAAAGCCCTAAGTCATTCGTTAGCGGTTGCAATCGCTAAATTATACGATTGAGACTTGAAGCCACCACCTCTTAGGAATGAATGTAAAAGATTTCTACAGCAATGTAGAAACTTTATTCCAGTGATCAGGGGAGAGAAATGAGAGCAGACAGCCTTAATACCTAGCGGGCTAGATTTATCTAAATTATACGATTAAGGTAAATTATGCCATATAATGTGCTACTATATCTACCGTATTGACCATAACAGACTTCATCTGATTGTTATTTAATTCTAAATTTGAAAAAATTATATTTTTGGAAAACAATTACAATTACAAGAAATCTCTTTTCCAAAATATGTACAATTTTTAGAATATAATAGCAGCAACTGTAGGTATAGAGTATAATAAATGTAAAAGAAAACAATAAATTACTTCGTTTTATCTATTACCGACTTATTAAATAGCAATGATACGTAACTTGCAGTTATAGACAAGTAATTAAATTTGTTATATGAAAGAAGGTTTTATCATCTTTAGTCACTTTATGCTTGTCTCGAGGTTAAAACCCAAAGTTGCGAGTGTAAAGTGACAGTATCCATGACTTTTATCCGATGTGTAGTTGTATTTTTCAATTGTGTGCTGTACCCCAAAAAACAATTGAAGGCGTTAGATAGAACTTACATCCTCCCAAGCAGAAAAACACATCAAAACATCTAGTTTTAATGGGTACCGGCGGAATTTCCTGGGACTCCAATGGAGGTATATGTGATACGTGTGTTAAGAAAATTGTGGTGTTGAGCTTTAAAGTAAATACGCTATAAAAAAGCTATGAACTGTGTCTCTACCTAAATAAATAATTATCTACCCAATAGCGTTGTCAGTTCAACATGAGTTTCCCTATATAATATATTTTTACTGTATATAGTATTTCCTATTCTTAAATTTTAACGAAACTAAGTAAAATACAAATTACCATCACTCGATATTTACAGTGAGTAGCTTTGCAAGATGATCAACTTATTTGGTCTTTTGGTTGACTGACCACTGAAATTAGAAGAACATCACGTTTCATTTTGATAACATATCAACATAATCCAATCTGATACTTTGACCATAAGATTTGTTTGGTTCGAATAAAATGCCAATGGAATTGTTCATCTCTTCAAACATTTTTTGTTAGTATCATAAGCATTGTGTTTTAATAGGCAGAACAATGAATTTTTATCTTAAGTGTTTCTGTTGTCTTATAATTGTGACGAGACTTAACAGAAAAGTAGTAACTTAATGCTCGTGGGAAAACCGCAGCAAAGCTGTTAAGAAGATTTTCCTTCTACAAACTCCTACCCTTACTCAACTCACTTGCATATCAATCATATTAAATTAAGGTAGAATTTACTTGAGTAAAGGATACCAAGCGAATCTATTGCACAACAAGTGTGCTTTCTAATCGTCTCTCGTCACAATTTAATTTACAAACACTTGAGTAACATTTAGTGGAAACCAAAAATTATATTAGAGATTCTGACAGTTTCACTGTCGTTTTCACAAAGATTACAACACAACGCTCAGTTTCAACAGAAGCTTATAATGAATTCTCAAGCATCAGCAACTTATTTAGGCTACCAAAAATTTACAGAACTACTTTCCGCCTTACAACATTATTCGGTGCGATTACATGGGAATGGTATATGCGATCTCTGTATGTAGGTATGTATGCTTGTCTATTGATATATTGAAGTTAGCTTAACAGTTAAGCTAAGCCAAATGGAAAACAGCATTTTCGGTTGGTGTACACATACATTTAGTGGCAAAGGTTAATTTGGAAATTTATGTGAAAAACGTGAGAAACGTGACCAAATGCCAAATTAAAATTATTACGAAAATAAGTGAGAACACCCAAAACACCGATGGATGAAAGCCAAAAGGATTACAATATTTGGGAAGGAACACTGTCCTTAGTAAGAAATGTAAAAAGTTTCGTAATAGAAATTAGCGAGACAAGAAAAAATTCTAAATACACATTCAAAGCGCACAAAAAAGATAAATGTTTGAGACAGAAGAAGCGAAACAGCATGACAAGATAATAAGTTTAATTTTCATATAAATTAAGTAAATTGCAAAAAGAATCTTTTCTTGGAATAGAAAAAAAAATAAGATTTATATGCGAAAAACATGCTAAAATGCTGCAAATGCGACAAATCTATTCAAAATCAGATTAAGTATTTTATTCCGGCAAAGTTAAACGAAAATATTTCATTTAACATGACCGGAAATAAAGGAAGACGTTTATCAACCTACATTCTCAACGGAGCACCTGCGCTATTTCATTTACAAAAATTCTCCAAAGCGAATATTAATTAAATGCGTACAGAGTCTACGTAATCATACCAAACCTAAGGAAAGGCAAAAACACTAAGAAAAATATTCAACAGCTTCAATAATAGGATTTAAGAACTTAGTTATTATTAAGGTATATGCAACAAACGATATAATATATAATAATATATTAGAATATAATATAATAATAATAAGCATATAATCTATTTAATTAATATATTGTATAATAATTATACATATAATACATAAAAATAATTATACATATAATAACATTAAAAATGAATATGCATAATTAATATTATAATTATGTAATATAACACAATAATAATATTTTAGTTATAATATATATTAATAATATAATATAATAATATAATATAATAACATAATATATATTATAATAATATAATATAATAACATAATATATATTATAATAATATAATATAATAACATAATATATATTATAATAATAGAGAAATTTTTCGAACAGTACGAGTAGTAAACTACAACAACAAAAATGTATTTTTAATAAATTGAATTTTTGACCGACCTTATAGTTGTTTCGAGTATTGTCAACAGTGATTTTTTGGAGCTCTTTTTTATATTAAATTATTCACAAATAGTTTTTTGAGACTGCAGGTACCAAAGGTGGAACTTGGACTATAATAATATTATTGGACTATAATAATATTATTGGACTATAATAATATTATAGTTATAAAATATATTGATAATATAATATATTTAATAATAGAGCAATTTTTCGAACAGTACGAATAGTAAACTACAACAACAAAAATGTATTATTTTCAATCAATTGAATTTTTGACCGAGCTTACTTGACCGAGGAACTTGGACTCTGCCAAGTGTTTGTATTGAATACAAACACCTAACTAAATCCAGTAATGTAGTCACAAAATGAAAATTTAACTGATGAAGACGATATATTTAATATGATAAGGTGCAGAAGATAAATAATAGCTACAGACTATACAAAAACAACAGGCATAGAAACAAGATTTTTGATTTTATCGCAAAAGAAAGTATGTATATCTAAAAGACCTTTGTGTACTATGCCCACAGTTAGATCTATTGAACTTCTTGTGAAACTTATTTGGTTGTGATTTCAAACAGACTACTCTTTTAGTTAAATCTTTAATAGTTTGTTTCTATTAATTTTCAATTTCTAAGTACCAAGTATTAGGGAAGAAAAGCTGTACCTTAGATATTTGAAGACTGCATTGTCTTTTCATTTTCATAACAGAATCTATTTGAGGCAAGACAATAGTTGTTGTATCGCAGAGACCTACGCGCTAACAATTTGGTGGCCGTAAGAGCAGAGACGATATTTGTTATAAAATGCAAATCTGGTTTTTTTTTGCTTTGAGTATTTTAAATTGAAATCTTTTAGACATTTGAGATAATATTTCATTATAGAATAAGACATATAGGTTTTAAACAAATAAATGATCATTTAAGCAATTTTTTTATAATTAAATGAGGTTTTATAAAAGAAATTTTGGACTGATATTTATCAATTTCAAAATTAAGAAATCATTTTAATTTTCTCAATTACTCAATTATTTAATTATTAAATAGCTAAGAAATTTATTATTAAGTTTACTTTTAATAAAAAACTATCTAAGCGCAATACTAAAGAAACAATTGGATATTATTTTATCAACCCTTTGGGACATTGTGTATTAATTTTTATCATTAATTTTAAATTAATATTTTATATCTCTGACTTACCAATAAAAAACCAGACATAGGCGCGTCCATACAACTGTTGTTTATACATTTCACATAGAACCCGGCGTGCGGCGACCACATAAAATAAACCGACAATTATACGCGCATCTTGGCGTCTCAAGTTACGCACTGCATCAGTTGGATCGGAAAGAAATGATTGTCTTGTGACGATTTCAACGCCTGCTTCCATACAACGATTCTCAAGATCTTCCACGGTCTAAAAAAAAAATATTCAAAATAAATTTCAAACAATAAATCTTTATTTAATATATAAAAATATTTAAGTATTTTTTGTTTTTTTTTTGTTTCAACTAAAACTAATGCATGTAAAAACCACAAAAACAACAAAGTAAAAAAAAACAATAGTTTTTGCATTATTTTGCACAAATTTTCCATTGCAATAACAAAACTGGGAACGTTAATGAAAATACATATAATTCACATGTTCATTTGATTAATAATATAATTTTATTTATATGCAAATTAAATTTAATATTAGTTGATAATCAAATGAATGCATAATTTATAATACAAGTTAAAAATTTTATTTGCGCAAACGAATATACACACACACATATGCAAAAATATTCAACAAACATTGTTACTGCAGCACTGCAACCATTTCTGTGTAATAACTAATAATTTCGTTCACAATCGTATTTGTTTAATTCAATAAATTATAATTTCCTTTTCAATTTTTAAAGCACAAGTAATTTAATCCAATTTATTTGGATTTACAATTTATACTTGAATGATATTTACATACTGCAAAGCACAACAATGCTATAAGCGAAACAGCAACTAAAATGCGAAGCAGATCAATGAAACTCACCACACCTTTAGAACAAAAAAAAGCAACAAAGCATACAGCGGTCATTATTGAATGTAATTTGTGTTATCACACACAAAACAGGTTCCACAGGATCACGTTCTACATAATCTTTTGTGTTTTTGGATAATTTTCACACAGAATTTGTCAACAAAGTGGTCAATTTCTATTTTTCTTTTACATCGGCTACACATGCAACTCTCTCATTCTCACTTTGTGTTTTTTGTTTATTAATTTTGTTAATTTTGTGTATGTTTTTGAGCTCAATTAAAACAAAATATATAAGATAAAAGCTAATTATGACACAAATGGGAAGTACAAAAAGAAATTGTTTGCTTTTATGTGCTATGTGTACATATATTATTAAATACTACACAATATTTCCCCATAGCAGTTGGAGAATTTTATGCAAAGGGTTCAATTTCAAAAACTTGTGTAAATAATACTAGATACACCCGAGAGTTTTGTTTGTAATTTATGCTGTCAAAAATTTTTATTTTGCATTGAAAGCAACAACAATTGACAGCTAAAATTACATAAATAATAGCTAAAATTATAAACAAAACTCTCGTGCAAATTTTAATATACACAATTGAGATTTTTTGAATATGGCATTGTGTTTTCAGTAAATCGAACATGTTTTTATAAATAAGATAATTCTTTTATTAGTTTATAATTATTAATTAATTTAATTTATTTTGAAAAAGTTAAAATTATTCCTATGCAAATTCATATATTTTTTAACAATTTTATGATTAGCTCTATTTTTAAAGTGCTCACTTTAATTTGTGTAGTTTCCATTAACTCTATGAAGATCAAGAAAAGTATATGTATTTTAATTCAAAAATTCGTTTTTGAATTAATTGCTGAAATCTTAGCCGACAACCGAAAGATCTACTCAATAACATATCTTTTATTTGATCTATAAGAAGACCGAAAAGAGCTTTTATTTCTTGAAATGCGATAGATCTTTTGTAATTTTTTGAGTGTGGTGAGCAAAAAGATTGTTGCTAGAATTGCCCTGTAAATCTAATTTCAAATTTCCAGCTGATTTTTGTTATGATTTTTAATTTGCTCTTGAGTTTCGTTATTATTTAAAATGATAACCAAAACTAAGGCAGATTAAATAATATTTAGAGTATATACAGATAATATCTATAACCACTTATGTTGTTTGAAAAATTTTATTTGAATACGAAATTGTTTGGTCTTTCTGTCAAAATTTTTTTAATCAAAGTTCCCAATAAAATGTGGAAAAAAGATGAACAGAAAAAAATGTGTACTGCCAATAATCAAAGTATATGGAAAAATGTAACGTAACATAATAAAGCAGACATATATAAATATTGGGGTCAATACTCTCCTAAAAAATATTAGAAATTTTACGAAACATCTTTTTCATTTATTTCGGTCATTATATTTCATTTAAGAGCAACCGATATTTTTCAACTAAACGCTTAATTATTTGTCAAAAGCTCAGCCCGGCTTTAAGTCGCAATTTTGTATGACAGCCCTCTTGAATGTTGGAGATAGATGATAAGTGAGTTTAATAAGATGTGTTAATGCATATATTTCCTTTAGAAGAATCATATAAGGTTTAACGGGTATTCAAAGCAATCAGATTATAATTTTTGTCTAGTAGACAAGCATTTTTATAGGATGTCTTTTTTGCGTTTCTTGCTTTTCTTGCGAATTTTGATGAGTTCGCACATCTATAAGGTATTATATAATAAGGTCCAAATTTTAAACGTAAATGCTTTCATGGAATAGGGAAATAGCGGTTAGGCTTTTTGTATTTTTTTATCTATATTGTAAATCCGGAACTGTTTTCTTTACTTCGAATATTATCTAATTAGGTCTAAATTTCAAATTTAAGTTTTTTTAATGGAAAAAAAATATTAGTAGATCTATAGTTTACCTAAAACGAAAACAATTTTAATACTTAAAATAGTCAGAGTCCGTACTTCATTACTTTATGGGTTCTAACTGATCATTCCCAATATCAATATCTTATTTGTGAGTCAAAATACATAAACACTTTTTTAACTTATTTAAAAACTTATTTTTAGATATAATGAGTGCTATAAATACGAGTATTTTATTGACAGTCCTTAGAATCAGTGAAGTTCATATAACAAACTTTTACGATAAAAAATTCTGTAATATAATATTATTTTTAATATTATTCTATAATTTGATTGTTTGATCTTCAGGCTTGTAAACTATTTCTGAGTTCGTTCTGTGCTGAACTTTTTAATAAAAGATAGGGAGACTCAACGATATGTAGGAATTTGCATGCAATTTCAATACTCTCATTGAGATCCACCGTAGAAATATCAGTCTTATGATTAGTTTACTCACAGTTCATTGCACATTAGGAAAACATGCTAATAGATTAAATCTTTCTTTTGATTATATCTGTCGCAATTGTTGACAGAACGTTCACTATTCACTTTCATAGTTCCTCTCATCTGTTTTGTTCTTGTACAACACTGCCTAACTACTCTGGAGGCCTCATTTTTAGATGATCTTGGTCAACTGCAAGACCTCCCATTAAATAACATTTTCTGCTGCGCACGATTGTACAATAGATCTATAGGCCAGAGTAGATTCCTTTGAATCGCCGGCACAAGCTAATTTAATTATGCTTTTCTATATCAATGGACAGTGTGCTACTATATGCCATTTTGAACTTGCAACTTTCATGAATCAGCTTTAACGTCATTACCAGTGCTGTTCTTATTATTTGGATATTTTAAAAACTGAAAAGATTATATTATTCGATTAATCCGATTGCAAAGAAGTCTCCTGAGTTGAAGTAAAAACGGATTCTTTTGTAAATCCGGAGTCTTCGAATATCTGGATTTGCGATTATTCTTTGCAGTGAAATTATTCAGAGATTTCGTGAGCAGAAGTAGGGAGAGCTCAAAATGCAAATGAACGTGTATCACACAATAAAACTCAAATTTTTTTAGAGATGATTGATTTTGTTGTTGTTTGTACGATTTTGTGTGTTTGGTATTACGAAAACTCCAACTCCGGAAACTTCGTTTATTATCCGAATAATCGGATTTTTCAAACACTTCGTAAAACCGAATACAAAGAGAACTAGTCATCACTCCACTGCATTCTGGGACGATCCTAGGTATTAATTACTGGATATTTTTTAAATGTAAAGAATATAAAAGTTTTTAGTTTATAAAGTTTTAGTTTAAGCTTAGCTACTGCGATATTAGTTTAAAGTAAATATGTTTGTCGCTCAAATTGATTTCTTCCAAATATCTCTTCTTCGTGAATTGTCAACTTATCATATTCCCATTTGCGATTTTTTGATTTCGCATTACCGAAATAATTCTTTACTTGACTGACAGAAGCCGTGACATAAATTTTATATTTGGCAAATGACATTTAAATTGAAGTTGAGTGGCTTTGTATACTTTTTCGTTTTTAATTTCATTATCATTTTAAATATTTTTCTTTCATTCTCAACGAGACCGGAATACGATTTTACTTTTAGTATTTCCATCTGAATTTCGACAAATTCAGTAAGTTTTTGTGTATCTGAAAATCGTCAGAAATATTTATTTTAAACTCTTTTGTGAACTTTAAAATGTCATAAATTTTTAGGCAAATTTCATGTAATTTCATACTGTGTTACCTCTGCATAAGAACTCCATGAAAGATACTCCTATCTGCCTGATTGTTTGTCTGTCTGTCCGTCTGTCCGTCTGTCTGTTTGTCTGTCTATTTGTAATTCAGCTTGCCACATTCTCTTTTTGATTTATATTAAATTTTTGTGTTATTTTCTAATGCATGCTCGTTATTTCTGTAATGTGTGCAAATATTCGGCATAATTTCATCATTGCTTACATCCTAAGCATGCTGATATCCTTTGCTGAATATGCGTTTATCTAACAGACTTCCGAGTTTTCGATTCTCGCACGCAGTCGTTCATATTACAGGCAACATAAATGTTTATTATATTTCCCCACATTTTTTTGGTCCTCTGGGGTATATTTGCTTTTAACATTTTATATGATTCCTTGTCATCCAAGTCATAACTACTTTTACCGTTTGAACTTCATTTCGTCTATTGAAGCATCATATAGCACACATCTTCCTTCGTACTCGTACATATTCTCCGAGCCGGATATACTTATATAAGTTTATATACAATAATATTTATGTGCATAAATACATCGTGTAAGTTCCCTACGTATGACGTATATATGAATGTAACACTGTTAATAGGAGTATGTTTGTCAGTACGCCAACCCGCCTGCGTTCGGTTGGTGTTATGACATTTGTGTGTTCCTAATCTGTCAGTTGCAATTTGTTGGCAGAATTGAATTATCGGATTTACTACCATGAGTACAACTACTA